AGCAGGAATACAGCAATTAGTTAGAGTAAGTAAATGCGTTGGTATTTAATCATATTTATTTTTGTGTCTTCACTGTTATGCTGGGGTCCTGGGCCATGCACCAATGCTCATTACTGTAAGGATAAAAGTGTTACTGTGTTAGGATGATTAAGACCAGCACTGCTGGTTGAGGTTGTAAGGAAAGAGATTATGAAACTAAATTTCATAGAGTATTTGTGTTTGATGATAATGATGGCCAATTTCATATCTGTGTTTTTTTTTTATAAGATCAGTTAGATTGGTTTATCAAATGAATAATTGATTGAAGAAGCGTCCTGTTAATACAGATGGATTGATTTAGTTTCTTTAACTTTGTTCTGGATAGCAAAATGGGTTTATTTGGCTAGCTGTCCTAAGCAATCCCTTTTAAATGGTAAAACAGAATTCTTTAAGTTGGACATGAGTACCTAGGAAAAATTGCATCCACTTTGTCAGTTTAGGTTCAAGATCGTGAATATATCTCATCTGTCCTCTTCTGATACATCATATGTGTGCAAGTCATGCAAAGTAAAGTTACCGCTTCATTGAATGGACTTCAAAGTTTTGCTTTCAAGCATCTTTCGAGTTCAATCTTGAGTAATGGCGTGGAGCATAAATGGTTTGCATTTCACACACTGTTGATGCATTGTTATTTTTTTCATATCATGAAAGAGCAGAAATTATTAACACTGACATTTCTGGTTATTGCTTCCAGCATTCAGCCATGGAGATAGGGAAGTACAAGATCAGGGTTAATGCAATCGCTCGTGGTTTGCATCTAGAAGATGCATATCCTGTGTCAGAAGGGAGGGAGAGGGCTGAGAAGTTGGTGAAAGAGGCAGTGCCAATGCAGAGATGGCTTGATGTAAAAAAGGATATTGCATCAACCGCCATCTATTTAATAAGTGACGGTTCAAGGTACATGACTGGGACAACCATTTTTCTTGACGGGGGCCAGTCCTTGGCTAGGCCTAGGATGCGCTCATACATGTAGGACTTATTTCTGGTGCAAAATCTGGATCAAGAAGAGAATCATGTGTTGATCCAGACAATCAGTGAAGCAGCTGGTCACTTGTGTGTCTCGTCCGAGCGAGTTTGATCTCCAGGTAATATGGACTTCTAAGTATATTTGGAACTACTCTCATTCTTCACCTTAATTCATTAGCTAGTGCCATTTGCGTCACATCTCTTGCTCTTCTCTCCAGGCCACCTAATAAACTTGAAATAAAATAGCATAAAACGGATCAAAGACAGAATTTCATTTTTCTGTTGTTCTTTTATGGTTCTGCCTCCACGGATGCCTTAACAGGCAACTCCGCAAAATATCAGCTGAGAAAACTGACTGCACTTTGTTAATAGAGAGAGCTCCATTCAACCATCGAGAATTGTTAAGACCATTAATACACAGGTCAAGTTGGGACAGAAATTCGACTTGATTATATCATTCCCAGCTTTTTTCCGGGGATTGCACGAGTGTCTCAAGGTGAGTACTGACTTTTGAGATTTACTTTTCCTGTAGTCCATCAACCGGGAATTGGAGCAACCTGTGGTGATCTGTCATCTGTCCTCAAATCTCACTTCTTCAAAAGAACGGCTAGTCGGCTATCTAATGTTCAATATACGGTCAGAGTTTGGAATGATTAAGGTTAGACTAATTTTGTGCCACCCTCTGGAAATTTCAACTGCCCCTTGAATAGGCAGTGGTGGTACTGTTCATAAGCATTAAGGTCAGACAAACAAAGAGCATCTTCTGTATGTATAAATGATGACAATCTCTGAAATCGGAAGCCAGCGAAGAAGGTAAGCGCTACTCCATTTCGCCATACAGATTAATTACTGGCTTCAATCAACCTCTAACAAAACAAAAATTTAGTTGCAATTATCCTTTGCTATCACGCATAGACATTGATGTCATGATAACACGCGATATTGCAGAAACACAAGCAACGTTGCTGTACAGCACAGAGTGGAAATTCCAAACCTAATCCGCACGTCCTTGTGATTTCGTGCTTCATTTAAATTAGTATGGAATCAATTACGCCACACAATGTTATCAATGACATGCTGTAAAATGAGTATGAATTCTAATTTAAAAAATTGATGATAACATTAACATTATTAGATTTAATGGAATAGATACATTCTATATTATAATATCTAAATTAAAATATTTTTTATGAAAAAATAATAACTACACTAAAAATATTATCATTGAAAAGTTAAGTTAAATTATATATAATTTTTTTAATATTTAAAAAATCATGACATGTTGTTAGATGATGTATTTGATCTTCAATTATAAATCAATCAATTATTGAATTGATAATAAATAAAATTATTTAATTTATTTAATTCTAGTTTATTTATGATTATGATTTATATTTGAACATATATATTATAAAAGTAATGTGTAATACATATCAAGAATTATTTATCAGAAATTAAATTATAATAAGAAATCAAGTATGACTTGATTGCAAATAAGTTTCTAGATTGCAAATAAGTTTTAGAAACTGAAAATAATAATTAATACAAGAGAAATTAATTCTAGACTTAAACGAGATTTGATTATATATAATTTAAAAATTATCCTAAAATAATTAAATAGAATATTATAACTTATATTTTATGCGAAAAAGTGAGTTGTACAACAATATAGATTATAGTACAAAAAAACACATTTGAGAATGTAAAAAAGAAAGTCATACCCAAAATTATAGTTTTTCAAAAACAATATTAGTGATTCTTGCTGTTTTTTATTCAAGGAACCATATATCATTTTTTGAAATTATTTCTTAAAAAATATCAAACTAAATTTTAACCGCTACATCAACTTTTACTCTGTTCATTTTAAAACAAGAACCGGGCTAAAAAATCACCAACATGTTTATGCTATACCAGGTTCAATGACACTAAACAAACTGTGGGCAGCGAACAACAAACTAGTGTTCACTGTTAGAACAAAACCAGAACAGCTAGTTTGGTTTAATAGTTTGTGGGTGCACTTTGTGCTGCCCCCAGTACTCACAGGTTCCAATATTCCCTTAATAAGAGGATGCCTATTATGTCAAAATTAGGACATTGCACGCCGCAATAGGAGGGTTTGATTTCTGAATCTCATGCTACGAAAATGCCTTTGATTAATTATAGGATGAGCTGCCCAGATACTGCATCCATCCATATGTTCTTGATGGAAGCAGTAAGAGTCACGGGCCCTCCAAGGCAGTACTGTTACTAGATCTCTGTGTGCATGTTCATATTAGCAACAAACCGTTGGAGTTATTAATGATACATCATGAAGATTAATCAAATCACATGATTTCATACATACTAGATAGCATGGCGGCGCACCACGGTGGGTTTATAGAGTAAATATATTTAGTGATGGTAAAATTATGAATCATTACTAGATAAATAGTAATAAAAACTAAAATTACAGTGAAGTTAATATTTGAAATATATTTAGTGATGGTAAAATTATGAATCATTACTAGATAAATAGTAATAAAAACTAAAATTACAGTGAAGTTAATATTTGAAATATATTTAGTGATGGTAAAATTATGAATCATTACTAGATAAATAGTAATAAAAACTAAAATTACAGTGAAGTTAATATTTTATAAGAAAAAAAATTATGTTGATGATAAAAAATTTATAAATTAAATAGAAAATCAGTTATAACAATCGACATTATTTTATTAGGAAGTTATAATGTTTTCTCTATAGCATTTAACTTTTTTATTAATAAAAATATAAAATTATACAGTAAATTCTCAATAAGTTTAATATTAAAAAAATAAAATTAATAAAGATAATTTTTAAAAAAATCATAACAAAAAAACAAAAAAAAAAAATCATATAGAAAAATATTATTTCAACCCATATTGTTTTATCAAAAAGCTATAATTATAATTCTCAATAAGTTTATTTTAAAAAATTAAAATTGACAAAAATAATTAAAAAATATATAAAAAAATATTATAATAATTTATAGTGTTTAAAAAAAATTATAAAATTACATTTTTAAACAACTTAAAAAACAAAAAATACTATTAAAAAATCATGTAAAAAACCACCGTAAAACTTCAGAAATTTCCCCGACATGTTCAAAGAATTTTGTTAATGTTGCGGCCGCCAGATGCATGCACCACGAGGGAAATTGAATCACTTTCATGGAAACTACGGGGGCAGCATGCGCAGACAGCAACCTTCTGCACCCACCATGCATACAAAAGCCTAAATAATGTTATAACACGTGTGGTCTTGCAATAATCAGTCCTGCCAACCGCTGCTCAGATATATATTCGGATTGAACTGAGATTAAATTTATTTTTCTAGTGATTAAAAGATACTATTATTCCACATCAGATATTGCATTTACAAAACTTATTTTGGGATGCTCTGACTCCCAAATTTGAATTAAGAAACTTGATCATCAGATTTATTCCTCGCTTGCTACATTAGCTTGTTGAAGAACATCTGACATTGCATTTTATCTGTGGTTTGCATCCAAGAAGACAACCTTTTCCATGCCTGTCGATGCAAAGTGCTGTAGTTGAAAATCAATATCAAGCGAAACCTGGTTTAAACTTAAAATCAATATGGGTCGGTCAAGATATTCTTTCAAGCAATTAAATATTTATCATACAAATTAATGTCTTATTCATGATGATGAAGCCGCCTTCATTTTCCACCATACTTTTCCTAATCAACCAGCTAATGAAACAGCTTAATTTCTTTTCACCTTGGAAGAATTTCGTGCCGCTTACGACACCATTATTTTTAAATACTATTTGGATTTTTCTCTTATTTCAATATATTAATTGATTGAAGGTGTAATTTTGTGGTTTCTAGCCACCAAGCCGCCTCTCCTTTTTATATTAGCTCTCAACCCTTTTAGACCAACCCTTGTTCTTTCTTTCACTAGCTCCTTCTTTTCTTCCTTCAACTTAATTCTTTATAAACTTCGGTTTTTCCATGGAAAGGTTCCAAATTTTATTTCCTTTTGCGTCGACAAGATCATCGGACCATCCTGTCTCTTCAAGTATGACAGATAATTCTCATATTCTTAGTGATTTTAAAGCTGATAGTACTTCAAGTGGGTTCTTGGGATCGAAGAAAGAAAGTTATCATCTAGTACCAAGAACATCATCCGAAATTAATAAAGACCTTAACTCACAAGGTGCAAGAGTTGGTATTGGGTCTCCAACGGAGCTAAAAGCAGCCAAAAAGAAAGGGGAGAAGAAGGTTAGAAAGCCCAGATATGCTTTTCAAACTAGGAGTCAAGTTGATATACTTGATGATGGTTATCGGTGGAGGAAGTATGGACAGAAGGCAGTGAAGAACAACAAATTTCCGAGGTACTATCGCTCTCCAAATTAACTTCCTTATATAATTTCCCCCTTTTTTTTTAATATATATTTTTGTTAAGACTACATAAGTATGCCTGCGCATCCGATCGAGTTATCACTATCAATTCCATTCTGCGGCTTGGCCGAAAAGCAAAGTCCTTCTGGATCTCCCACTCGATATGGTCAGGAAGTGTATAGGGAAAATCTTCCTTTCAGATTAGGGTTATGGATGAGAGACTTTGAAACCTGGATGAATTCATTAGTATTCATGTTGAGAAAAATATCCTCTTATAATCCTTCGAAGTAAGAATGTTGATCTCTTCTGGTCCTTTTTAGTGATTAGTGGGGTTTAGGGTTTCTCCTTCCTTAATTTTGCCGAATCGTCTTCTTCGCTCTCTCATAAATAGCATCCTCGTAAGACGAGAGGAATTGAATAATCAAAACGAATCGCAGGGATTGCAGATTTCTTTCGTTTTAATTAACCAAACCTACTTTCTTTCGACGTATGAATATTTCTTGATTTGTGGTAAATCTAGTAGAAGAATGGCGCCTTTCATTGACGTGTCTCTACATGCATTTGCACAGTTTCTCGAGTTAAAGATGTTTATCAAACCCCATGAAGAGTTTTGATCAACAGTTATATATACTTCATGAAGAAGGTCGTCTGTGAAACTTAAACCAAATCTTGTATTAATAAACGTAAACTTACATTCATTCCTTACCTAAGCTTGAAATGAAACTATGCTGGCACAATCAAGAGCAAAGGAACTTAGCTCCCCCAGGATATTTATAGAGATGAGTGAGGCAAATAATAGTAACAAATCATGAGACGAGGTAATGTCAGGCACCTACAACTATAAATCTCCAAACAAATTTAAGTTCTTAGATTGAATGGATAGAGAGATGAAATCTATACTTTAGGACCTCGACTAACACCTACGTCAAGATCTTATGATATATTACTTATTACTAGGTGCACATATTTCTTTCTTTCTTCGTCCTTTTGTGTCGCTCGTTTGAATAACTACATGAACCGTGCCTTTAACGCGGCAGGGTTTGATTTCAAGTCTCCACGGATTCCAGTAATTACTTTACTGCTCTAATTAACCAAGCAACTTTACTTTGTTACACCTTGAAATAAAACCATACCATAATTGAAGAGTTGCTTTAGTTAGAATATAACGTTTTGAACCTCTAAGTATCAAGAAAATAAGGTTGAGCTGGGTGCGTAAATATTTGGATTTTTCACAAGTTTGTTTTTTAGCTGGTTACAAACTAAAGAAAAGTCTTAAACCCGAACTCACCTGGAAAGAGATCGAGGGTATGCACGCTAGTTGAGCTACGAGCTCAATTTGGCTCTATATTTATTTATTTCTTCAACAACTCTTTATTATAACATCAGCATGAACCATTTGAAGAAATGTGTACTGATTGTAATTTCTCATTTTCAGGAGCTATTACCGATGCACTTATCAAGGTTGCACTGTAAAAAAGCAAGTCCAACGCTTAACCAGAGATGAGGGCGTTGTCGTGACCACTTACGAAGGGATGCATAGCCATCCTATAGAGAAGTCAAATGATAATTTTGAACATATATTAAGCCAGATGCAAATCTACACTCCCTTTTGAAGTGATCAAGGTTAAAATCATGTCTGCTTTTGTAAGGAAAAAAATCTAAATAGATAATACAGCAAGGAGTGTACTTTATATGCTAATAAGGTTGTATTCATATATATATATATATATATATATAGTAATGGCAGAAGATCATAATTAAAAGTTCTGAAATTATGTTTTTTAGTTGATGAATATATTGTGATCGGTAAGTTTTCTGTATCTTCTCTTCGTTCTTTCACATTGATGGGATTGTATGATGTATAAATGAAACTCTGGTATGCTCAACATCAATGGACGAGTCGAAATTACTGGTACTCTATCTCCCTTCTTTATCTCTCCCTTCATGTTTCTTTCCTTTTGTGTTGGTGGTTTTGGAATTTAACCTAAAAATGAAGGAGAACAATAGATGTAAAGAAAAATTAACTTGTGCTTGTCCAATTACAACAAATTACTCCGTCTATCATTGTCTCAGTGCTGGGGGATTCACCATTTTTCTTTCGTTTATTAATTTGATATAAAATTATTACATGTCTTTTATATATATATATATATATATATATAAAATAATTAATTACTATATAACAAAAGTAAAGTACACACATTCAATAAGTCTCTTAATTTCCCATCATATTGTGCATATTATCTTCTTTTTTTTCCTTTTAACAATCTTTCTGCAGATGAGTACAATTTAGCAATTTTAGTATAACTTTGAATTTGAATACGGTCCACATGTATCCTAAGTGGCATTCAACACACACATATGTATAATTCTGTGAGTCTTTCTTCTCTATAGCTAGCTTCAATTTTTGTACATTGTATATCTTCATAGATTTTCATTAAGACTATTTCATTTTGTAGCTAAGTAGGCAATTATCCACGTGTTGAGTAGATTGACACAAACTAAAAAAAATATTTTAAAATTTTAATCTTCCATACATTTGGCGCTTTCCCTGAGAATAAGAAGATTGACAGGGTTTTATTGATTGAATAGGGAATTGAACCAACGAACTCTTATCAGAACACTTGCAATCCTTTCAAAATAACAGAAATTCAATAAAACCATAGGAAATGATATATCATTCTACATGACAGTACTAAAATCAAAATTATTAATTCAATTTAAAATTTTAAATTATTGGTAAGACTTCAAAATATAAATATTTATATAATTTCTTAATAAAAATAATTTTAAAACTTTTTAAAATATTCAAATATCTTATTTGCACATAGAGTGCAGCAAAGATAAAAACACCCAACCTCGATATGTCGTAACCTTTAAAGATGTATAGATAATTTTATCACATAATTTTACTAAAAAAATAATTAGTAACATAAAGAATATAAATTATATACAATTGGAAAACTCTAATATTGTAATTAACCATAAAATTGATAGTAAAAAAATCAATAAAAAAAAATACAATTGCACTCTTTTTAAAGTAAAATAAATTCAATAAAGCAAAAATAAATGACATATCATCCTATGGGATAGCACCAAAAACAAATTAAATCTTAAACTAGAAAAAAAAGAGAGAGAGATACATATCCAAATCTTAAACTAATAATATTTAAATTAAAAGATATTTTTCTGCTTATTATGATATTGCAACACAATGGTCTGTTTTAACTTTCTATAGTAGTCAACTTTAAACTCATTATAAATCATTCCCTTAATATAAATTTCATTGTTATATGCTTTTTTTGTACTTTGAACATGCTCTTCAGTATAAAATACATGCCCATTAATGAAATACTTTTTTTTTCATTACCCGAACTTAATAAATTCAAAGCAATACTAACATTTCCTCTTAATTGATAAACCTAGTGCATGAATTATATCTCTATCATAATTAATGAGAAATGTATAATAAAATTAAGTATCTCGAGAGATAAAAATAATTAAATAGTTCTTAATTGTGTCTTAAACCACGTGAAAAATCATTCATTTTATAAAAAAAATTTAATATTTAGTCAATTGTAAGTTTTGGAATAATAAAAATTAATAATATTGCCTATAAAGAGTTCAAATCCTTATCTTCTTTATTTTATCTCATCTCCTGATCCAAATCCTTATCTTCTTTATTTTATCTCATAACCTCCTGATTTTCTCTTATATTTTAAATTCACAATTTATTTGAGAAATGAAATTAAACTCTCTCTCTTTATTTGTTTTAGTTCCTTTATCTTTATCTGATTAATGTTTTGCTCCCTAATTCTTTTTTTGAACGTGGGGTAAATCTCTATTTACAATTTTTCCAATAAAAATTTATCAAAAAATGCATTTTCTCCTGACTTTGTATAATGGGTTATTCTCTAGTAAAATACATCTAAGAGTAAAAAAAAAAAATAAACATCTAATTTTAAAATAATTAGAAATTTTAAGTAGTCTTTAAAATTTTAAATAAGAAATTGATCATATTAAAGAAAAGATAAACATCACCCTAAAACATTTCATATTAGATAAATTGTATTATTCCTGTCTTTAATAATAAAAATATTTATTGTGCTCCACTAAAATTGGTATAAATTAGTGTGTGCATATTTGATTAAAACAAATAGGATCATTAAACCTAAGACAATTATTTGGGACCTAGGTGTTATAGAATCGGGAGGATGGTGAATAACAAATAAAGCTTTGAACTCATTTTTTATGTTATGTCTAAAATAGATCCGTCACTATTCATTTCCAATAGGTTTTTTTGAGGTCACATTGACCCAACCTAACTTTTCAAAGACAGACCTGTTAAGTGATCATACTATACTCCTCATGATGAACCAAAATCAATAAAAAAAAGATTTTTTTTGTAATAATAAGCAAATAGCAAAGTGTAGAAAGAAAAGTGACCAGCTGTTTCCTCATATAATGTTATTTGGTTAGCGTGATCTTAACTTGTCAGGATATTTTAGAATGATTTTTATTTTTTCTTTGGTATAATGAATCCAATACTAGAGAATGTGTACCAAATCAGTCTTACGTGTTCATGTTATACTTAAATTTACATGGAGATTCCTTAATAATCTCTCGAATATTTTTCCAGTGGTTAATAAGATTTATTCAATTCCTTGACTTTTTAGATTTAAAACTTGGTGTGATCATTACTTAAAACAAATTTTCTCTTCAATATATCAAATGGGTATGAGAGTGAAATATTAAAATCATTTGAAAAAAATAATTAATTCTTAATGTCATGAAAACAGTCAAAATACATCTTATCTTCAAAGTAATAAGATAAAAAGTCCACCTATAACAACATATAAATTCATAATCCCAGTTTTTACTGACTCGTACGTGGAGCATAGCCATTTTTGGCTCTAGGCAGTAGATGACCTACCATTTGTTATCTCTGCATTTAAAACAATTTAACCTTCATCAAATTAACAAACAGAAACTCAATCTTTCAAAGTTCATTAGTGTTTTTGTGTGTTATTATAAAATCACCAATATATTATTTCATTTGTGTTTGTGTGTGTGTATTAAAAATTCACCAATAATTTAAAACTATAAGATTGACTATTATAAATTTAATACAATATCAACATCAAAACTTTTAATTGGCTATGCAAATTCTAAATTTGCTTAAAATGAAATAATAAAAATAAATAATACTAAATATGAAAATAAAAAAAATTAAATCAAAACAAGTTTTAAAAAATATATGATATTTAATATTATTGATTTTCACTGCATAATTAAACGTAATATTGTTGTTTTAAAAGAAAATGCTTTATTTATATAGTTTTGTTTTATATTATAGCTAACACAACTATACATTCACATGCATTATAATAAAGTGAAGCTCTCTTTCCCTTCTTCTTTTTCTCCTTTTCTTGTGAAAGAGAGACATGGGAATTTCTTATACCATCATATTGTTTCAATTTCTAAATATGCACATCAATTATTATTGTTTCTAGGGCTATTCTGACATGTTTCCTTTGGGCATATATACGTTATTAACAAGTTAATTTGTGGAAGATGAAGTTACAAGAGCTGTAGGGATTTTAACCATGAATATTTATTTGAAAGGTCAAAATTAATAACCTTTAATTAAATCAGAGTAATATTAAAACAAAATGAGATTTTTAGCCATCCTTTTCTATCCATTAATAACAATAAAGATCTCTATATATCCTTATATATATATATATATATATATATATTTGGGTGTAAACTAAGGGCACCCCCATGCAATTAATCACGTACAGGTGTTTTTTAATGGATAAACGCTGTTGTTATAGCTATATGACCTTAGGAAACTCGAAAGAAAAACCCTTGATTAAAGAAAGAAAGATACATAAGCACGTGTGTCTCATTGTTTTTCTCTGATGGTAGGCGTGTACAGTAATTCATAATGCAAGGGGTTTGGCTGAAAGCCACACAAGTCATCAAAATTCATCTAATTATAATTCCCAACCGCCAAATAATTTTGATTTTTCTGACTCCAAAAACAGAATAAAAGATGCCAGTCCACCTGACTTGACTGCTTGCTCTGTTCATCTACTCTCTTTCCAATCTGCATATTCTTCACGCATTCCTTTCTTTAATTTTTTAACCTTAGTTCCGGCCTTCTAGATGATTGTGAATACTTTTTACTTGATGATTTTGTTGTCTCGACATTATAAAATCAAAGGAGCTGCTGCGGTCAATTCGTCAACTTAAATTATGCTCTCTACATGATTTGTGCATCTTGTTGCATTCCATTTTGATCCATCCAATTCTGCCAGGAGGATAAGTTTCTTGTTTAGATTCTAAAGAAACCAACATTGACTACAATGGAATGTTTCCTGCAAGTCCATTCGGTGATGCTTCCTCCAAAATGGGTCCTCATCCACCCCTCCAATACTGCAGATGGACTTTCTGGCAACAAGATTCTATTTATCTTGCTACCATTAAAGTCGTCGTTTTCCTTCAACCATGAACACAGCAGGTGGACTTTCTGGCAATTTTATAGAATATTTTGGAGTGAACCTCCATATTTCAAACAGCTTATTTGAATAGATTTCAAGTGTTGACTGGGGCTAGGTTCTGATCATTACATGGTAAGCACTTACGCAACTG